GGTTGGGGACCCCTGCTGTAGACCATTTTGACTTGCTGTCATTGGTGTCAACATTCAGGGTGCCCTTTACAATGTAAAGTTTAGCATCCTTTTCCCTACTGGCAAAGTGGGCCTGATATTGTGCAGCAATATCAGGCTATTTCCTGACATTTTGAACTGTAGATACAGAAACACAATATCCTACATTCATAAACTGGTGGTTTTTTTAAAGAGTTAAATTATATCTGAGTTATAACAGTGCAGAGAATGAATTGGTGCTTGGATACAGCAGGAGGCAGAATGATGGTTAATCAACTGAGGTTGAATCTTGGTACGATAGATGCCTTATGGGTGCATGTTTTACATCAGTGTCCTGGATGGTTTTATTACTCTTCCACAGACAAGTCTGTCATCTTTGGATAATATTGGATTCACATATTGTCTTAAAGGCCTAGGTGAGCTCAGTGGCAATGGGTGCATACTACCAGCTTTGACTAGTACTACAGCAGTGACCGATCCTGGCTAGGGATAGTCTGGTTACAGTACTCCAAGCACTGATAACATTAAGATTATCCTGTTGTTGTGAATTTGTGTGTGTGTGTGTAACCTAGTGTGGAACTGGCACAGAATGTAGTGTGAAGGTTGCTTAATGGCATTTCCTGTCATGTTTATTTAAATTCTGTGCTAAAAGGTAGGCCAATTACCTTCCAAACCAGGTGCAGAGTGTTACTTCTGGCCTCTAAAGCTGAAATAGGACAACATAGGACAAGATTATCTAAGAGTTCTTCTGTTTTATATGTAGACTGTCCTTGTGATTGAACTCAGAGGGCTTTGCGTTCTGTGCATACTGTACTTACCACAACCGAGTATGGCTCATTTGTTTATTATGCCAAGGACTATCTTCTCTGTTGTGATATCTACCATGTGGAATTATCTCCTCACGATGATTAGGCAACCTCACTGTAGGATGGTTTCAGCATAAAATGAAGACTCACTTGTTTTCCTGATTATTTTTCTGATTTTTAAAATCTTTCACGCCTGGTTATTAATTCATTGTTTTTGCTGACAGATATATTTTATTATTTTGAGTATTTTGTCAATCTCTTATTAGTAATTATTGGTTTTGTTGTATGTGCCTTTATTGTAAATTGCTTCAGTATTTTTTAAAAATTGAACAGTAATATAAAAATATCCTTAAATCAAAGTGAAACAAATATTTTCTGACATGGTAATCTGGATTTGAGTGAAATCAGAACCTTGACAAACTGTTGTTTTGAATCTTTTGAGCTTCAGAGTTTGCCTAACAGAAATCTTATGGTAGGAGATTGATACAGACCCTAAGTTCCATCAGAATTAAATAACTTCACTGGTTGAAGAAGATTAAAGCTCCAGAAAAGAATAAGTGTTCTTAGTAGATAGTGCCACAACTTGTTGCTGTCAGATATCTTTCCAGGTTCTTGTGCCATCAGATTTTTGTCTTTTTTAATTTTTTTAAATTTGTTAGCTTTTATTTCGTTTTTACCTATAATGCTTTCACAGTCTAACACAGCTAATTCTTTTACATCTACCCAGTTGTTGTTGTGGTGATGTGAAACTTTTATCAAAATGAATGTACCACCTTGTAAAATATTCCTATCAAACCAGATTGTCAGTGTTTCATGAATAGCTAGAGCACCTATTACAGTGGGGTCTCTACTTAAGAACGCCCCTACTTAAGAACAATCCAACTTAAGAACAGCTCCATTTGCTAAATTTTGCTTCTACTTGAGAACAGAAATCCAAGATAAGAACAGGGAAAAAAAACCTTTCCCGCTCTTTTTTTAACCTTAGGTCATCTTAGGTTAAAAAAAAATTCTCCCCCTAGTGGTAGAGTACGTATTAACCAGCTTTGCATTAGTTCCTATGGGAATTAATGCTTCAATGTACGAACACACCTCTACATAACAAAAAAACAGCCAGAACGGATTAATTGGTTTTCAGTCCATTGCTATGGGAAATTTTGCTTCAACTTAAGAATGTTTCAACTTAAGAACACCATTCCAAAACAGATTAAGTTCTTAAGTAGAGGTTCCACTGTAGTTTCTATGGACGGAAAAGAGCAGATACGGATTAAATGGTTTTCAATGCATTCCTATGGGAAATGCAGATTCAACATAAGAACTTTTCAACTTGAGAACCACCTTCCACTACGGATTAAGTTCTTAAGTAGAGACCCCACTGTACTTGAAATAGTGTAGTTTGTTCCCTTGTGTAAAAGATGTGTAATTTGAAATACAGAACTGATTATGAATTGCTTTCTTTCTCACCTATTTTGCATTTCATTGAGAACTCAACAGGGGAGGGGGAAGGTTTGCAGCTGAGAGTAAGCAGGCTTGCTGATGCAGGTAGTTGTAGAGCTCTTCTTTTAAAAGTGCTGTGGTATGAAACTGCATAGCTTTGCAATAAAAATTAAGCATTTATAATTTCTGTCCCTTGCCTGATTGATGCAAGTCATCTGTGTCACAAAAACATGTAGTTTTACTTAATAAAGTAGCTATCTACTCTTGCAAACTGCTTATCTTTGTCAGTATTGAAAAATGTATGTAGTAGGGTAATTGTAAAAGTTTTTTCTCTGCCATAATATGTAGAGACAGTGGCCAGAACCCTACTGTGGATTTACACCAGCATACAATTAATAGCATAAATGATGAAGACAGATTGATGGTATTCATCCAATTGCTGCTCTTCTTAATGAGCCAGTTGTGTAACCTGGATACAAACAACAGTTCATTAGATCATTTGTTACTGCATTGTACATCATTGCACTTGTATTGGCATAAATCTACAGTAGAATTCTGAACATTGTAGTTTAAACTTTCACATGGATACAGTGGTGCCCCGCATAGCGAGGTTAATCCGTTCCGGATGAACCCTCGCTATATGAAATTGTCGCTAAACGGAACGTAAAAGCCCATTGGAACGCATTAAACATCATTTAATGCGTTCCAATGGGCCCTAAATGTACCGTTCAGTGAAGTTTCCTCCATAGCGGCAGCCATTTTCGTGCCCTCGGTAAGCGAGGGGAGGGCGCGAAAACGCTACGCGCGGCCATTTTGGGCGTCCGGCGGTCATTTTAGAACCAACGAACAGCTGATTGCCCAACTCTGTGGGAGGCTGGGGGGGGGCGGCGGCAAGAGGAGAAGAGGAAAAGTGTGGGGGGGAGGACGCGCGAGCACGCAGCTTCTCTCCCTTTGTGTGCCTGCCTTGCCGCCTGCCTTCCTCCCCGGGGGCGTCAGGAGAAGGACGAGGAGGAAGAGGGAAAGCGGGGGGTGGCGAGCGAGCGAGCGAGTGCCATTTCCCTCCCTCCATCTGCCTGCCTGCCCACCTGCGTTCCTTCCCGGCCAATGCAGCCCCGCATCACTCTCGCGGCGGTGGTGGCGGCGGCTCCTTCCTGGCACCTGCCTTTGGTAAGCGAGTTTTTTCCATAGGGACCGACACTATGCCTCCGCATTAGCGATCCCGGAGAAGGGATTGCTGTGCGGATTCGTCGTTATACGGTGCACTCGTTATGCGAGGCACCACTGTAGTTTGTTTCTTCCCATTCACAGTGGTGGTTGAAATCTTGTTTTGTGCAGCAATACTGTGTAAGACTGATTTAACAAAATGGTTGCTGATCCTCTTCCCACTTCAGAAAGTTCTGAGGTTCCTATGGAATCCCTTTCATTGTGGGGAAACCATTGGGGAGTGGGGAGTAGGGCTAACATGGTGGGGAGTCAGAATGTCGCTGCCACCAGGATTATTTTACCACTGGTGTGACACACAATTTTGCAGTACCTAACAACAACTCCTAGACAAAAGGATCTTGTAGGAGCCCTGGGACATTCAGGAGGGGAAATCAGATTTTTTTTAAATTTCTAAAAAAAAACACTGTGACTGAGGATGTTATCAGCCTTCCACAGCAGACCTGTGCAAAGAGGATTTCAGCTGTAGTGCCTAAAATGAACATTACACCATGCGTCATTAATGAATTACAAGATCAGATACTTCAAAATGAGATGTAAAAAACAGCTATAAAGATTGACACATTAGTGTAACAAATAGTTAACAAATTGATAAATAATGATTCAAACATTTTTGTAGCAATATGTACTAGGAACAGTTGGTTGGAATTTACTTTTAGAAAGATAGAAGTCTGAAATTCAGAGTTTAATATCGTACATGGACAACGTTAGAAGGTCCAGGGACATTTTTCCCCTCCCCTAAACCTTTGCTGGCCTTACCCAGCTCCAAATGCTTACCCCTCTTATTTCTTTTTCTTTTGGAATAGTGGCTGCTTTTTGCCTAGGAGGTGTGATTTATCTGCGACATTTTTCTGCTCCAGGAAAAGTATTTTTCTTCTTCTTCAAGAAACAAGATGCAACTGAAAAATCTAATCTAGGGTTGCAATTTGTCATTTCAAAACATTTTGCTTGGAGTTGGAGAGGGTCTGGAGACACTGGAGGCCCATGGGCCAAAGTTTTGTTAAACTTCTTTTTATGTACAGTAGTTACTTAATTTAAGTCTGCAGATGCAGAATAGCAATAATATTTTAAATGGTTTCCTTATATAAAATCCTAAATCTAGAAAACTGGCACAACAAGGAGTGCATCGGTCACTAATTTCTTTACTATTTTGGTAGGCCTTTACTGTCTTAGAATCCAGAAACACTGAAGAATAGCAAGCCCAATGTGCATTCTGAAGTTTTTTTTGTACATTTAGGAATCTGAGAAGCAATGTCACCTCATTCTATTACATGTATGACCTTATATATGCAATGTTGGAATCTCTATATGGTCATCGTAGTTGCATCTAGGGCTAACAAGGTAACACTTTTTCAAAAATTGGTATATCTTACAGTGGCCCAGTGATCCAGAACTTCCACTTAACATTTTGTAGTGTTAGAGGGACCTTTCCAGTCCAGGCAATATTACCAAAATTAATTTTGTTTTTATGGAAGAAAGCCATTTCCTAAGTAATGGTTACATTCTCTGGTGTTATAATAGGGGATGGAGTGCTAGATCTCTCTACAAAGAAAACAAACTTGGAACAGTCAAGATATGATGGATCATGTTCTGAAAATTCAGTGTCTGGGTAAGCAAGCTCAGCATTACTTTGGTTTACTTAATAATCATGATAAATGGAAATACAATTTAAACTTGAAACCTTATTTTGCTAATGATATGTGTAAAATACATGTTGACACAGCTCTTGCTTTTTCCAAAGAGTTCCATTCATAATTGTATGTTTATGTATAACTCACATGTTTCATTTTGTCTTTTCACTTTTTTCTGTTAAAGAAAAGTTATCAGAACAATCACCAAACTTTAGTTCATGTTATAAAAAGTGAACTGAATCCTTGCTTACATAATACAACAAAAAACCTAAGCAGTAGATTTATTTTGTATGACATAGAAACATATCAATTGGGGCAAAAGGCATGTTTTCATTTTCAATGGACTGTTTCAATTTTAAAAACTTTAAACATTATAAGTAGGGGAGAGCTCTTGATGACCATTCCTGCATTTTGATAATACCTTCAATACTTGCAGTCAGACTGCTAAAATGTCCATTTGTGAATAGATGTTTAATGTGCTGAAATATAAAATAACAAATAATTTTGTCATTTGTGCTTTTTGCAGGCATATTTTAAGAGCAACTAACAGTCTACAGCATATTCTAACTTAAAATCTGCTTTTATATCTAACCAGATATTACACACACACATACACACACAGAGGGGGGGGGAGATACACATGTATGTGGAAAATCTGATGAATTTAGTAGCAGTTAGACTATAAATAGTACTTAAGACCTTACTTGCAAAATCAAAAAATTAAGTGGCTGTCCAGGTTGTTTTGTGTTAGTGTTGCAATAAAGTTTCTATGAGGGGGTTGACTCTTTTATTACTTGTTTAGCGGTAACGTCACGTTTCTACTAACAAAACTCCTTTAGGACTGGGGCATTCAATGGATGTAAATTGTGTAAAGAAAAGTTTTAAATGTTATTCTGCAAGCAGCTATCAAAATGGAATTGCAAGCAGATAAGAAAGTAATGAAATACTGAACTAGGATTTAAAGTTCTTGGAAGGGCTGCTGTAGAAGCTGGGGTATCATTTTGACACACGGTCCTACCAGAATTGTAGCTTTTGCTATGCTAATCAAAGCTACTGAAACTCAAAGACCTAAAACTATCAGAAGCAGTGATGTTACCTAAGCAAGGAGTATAATAAAGGAGTGGACCCTTCCCTTCCATAGCTGTGTGAGCGTCTCTCATACATCAGTTCACCATCGTTTCATTCCATCCATCCAGGAGACTCCACAGATTCAGAGAGGACTATGTGGAAAGAAGTGCTGAGTTTGCAGATGGTTTGCTCTCAAAAGCATTGAAAGACATTCAGTCTGGAGCACTGGACATTAATAAAGCAGGCATACTTTATGGCATACCTCAAAAAACTTTACTTCTCCACTTAGAAGCCTTACCAGCAGGAAAGCCTGCACCTTTTAAAAACAAAACTCAAGATTTCAATGACAGTTATTTTTACAAAGACAGTAAAGAAACATGTGCAGTGCTGCAAAAAGTAGCCTTGTGGGCAAAAGCTCAAGCAGAGCGCACAGAAAAAAATAAATTCAGTCTACTTGAAACCTCAGAATTAAGGTTCCCAACAGCTTCCAGTTACCTCCACCAGTTAACTCTACAAAGAATGGTTACTCAGTTTAAAGAAAAAAATGAAACTGTACAATATGAAGTGTCAGCTCCAACTGTGCAGTTAAAAATTCCTCAGTTAAGAATCAGTGCTGTTCCCAAACAACAACCTGATAATGCTGGTCTTCTGGATGTTATGTACCATGTTTCCAAAACCTCAACAGTCTTAGAAGGATCAGCTCTTCAAAAACTGAAAAGCATACTCCCTAAACAGAACAAAATAGAATGTTCTGCATCTGTAACTCAGTCAAATGTTGACTCCTACTTTCTGCATGGGGACCTCTCTCCTTTGTGTCTTAATACAAAAAATGGACTTATTGATGGCACCTCTGAATCTGCAGAAGATGGCTTGGATCGCAAAGATAATAAACAACCAAGGAAAAAACGTGGTCGCTATCGGCAGTATGATCATGAAATAATGGAGGAAGCTATTGCAATGGTAATGAGTGGAAAAATGAGTGTTTCCAAAGCACAAGGAATATATGGGGTACCTCACAGCACTTTAGAATACAAAGTTAAAGAAAGATCTGGAACACTGAAGACTCCTCCGAAGAAGAAGCTCCGATTACCAGACACTGGGTTGTTTAATATAACAGATTCAGGGACTGGCACCTGCAAAAATAACAGCAAGCCAATGTAGTTTCATTTTGCTAGGAGAGAGAGAGAGTGAGTGAGTGAGTGAATGAGTGAGAGAGAGAGAGAGAGAGAACGTCTGTGTGTAGACATACACACATGAAAACAAATGTTCAATTAAACAGACAACATGAAAATTTACAGTCCAGAAACCACATACATGCCTTTTTGAAAAATAATTTTATTCAGGGTTTTTCACTGTGGACAAAATGAAATAATTGATCACAATTGTGATAATTTGTATTTAATATAATCCTTGTACAAATAAGTGAAAAAGATTCAGGTTTTATTTAGTAGTCATTAGCATAAAATGTTTGGAATAACGTGTGTGTCATGTGAAGCATAATTTTACTGATGAAGAGCGACTCTAACATTCTATAATCCATCTTATTAAGAAAATACATGATTAATACTTTGACAACATGTATGCCTTGAAATATTTTCAGCAGTTGCAAGAGGTTGAAAATATATGAATCAAGGGAAATTTAAAGAGGACATTACTCTCTCAACACAGAAACAAGCATGAAGTATTGGTTGACTATAGAATTTTCTGTGGAGGGGAAAGTATATAGAAGCTGAACATCTGAAACAGATTTTAAAATCTAATTTTGAGTGCGTGTGTTAAGTATAAAACTGGGTTCTTATTTTATTGTTGGTTTAGCAAGAAATTGGTGTTTGCAAAATATATACTTGTGAAAACTGACAAATTTAGTGTAGCTGTAGAATGACTAACTATTACATGAGATGGAATACTAAAGGCATAAAAGTTGTTTTCCTTTAGTGTGGAAAATAAGCTAACTTGTAAGGGGTTAAAGATGAAAATTGGAATGCAGATTTGAGCATGTTTATAATGTCCACAGAATGAGCTTGAGAATGGTTATTTTGGTTTAAGTGTGCTGATTACTTGCTGTTATGACTACTTACATTTATTTAAGGATTGTCTAACACTCCTACTGAAAAACCTCACTGTAACAGTAATGTATTTGCTGCTGTGACATTTCAAAATATTTTCAGTTTATCAGAATGAACTTCAGGTTTTCATTTTGGTGGGCCGATACATCTTCACTTTGCTAATAACCAAATTTACAGTTCAGGGTCTAGATAGAATTACAGATACAAAACAGTTTATCTGTTTTGAACTTTCAGTACTAGAAATTCTTTGTATATTTACTATTTGGAAGCTGGGCAGTTCATTTTAGATGTATAACTTTTCATAGAATCTCAGAAGACTAGTTAGCTTTAGATTACTGTTTCTAAATGGTCTTCAACAAACTCATAATAGGAATGATATTTTCCTCTGGAGATTATTCCACAAGGTTCATGGGTTTCTGTTGCTCTGGTCCCCTTCTTGCGCTAATGTGCAAAGAGCGCAGCAGGACAATCAGGAGGATGAGAGGTCTCTGTGTGCTTCACATATCCCTGTGCAGCCCCAATCTATCCTCTGCTTAATCAAGTTTTGAATTTTTAAGTTGGTGGCAGGGAGTCTAGATAAGAATATGGGGGAGATGAGCACACAAGGTCTATTCAAGCATTATCTGCTCATGTATACTCACTACCCATAGAGGGATGGTTTAACTGTGCCCTTTCTGCCCATGTTGTTGTCTCACACCTACTTATGAAGAGTGACTCATCTGAAGAGAGAGATGTCATTTGTAGGAGAGCTGGGTATTGATATTACAGTGTAGAAGGACAGCATGGAGGGGTTGGATCTAGAGTGCTCCCCTCTTTGTTTGGTGAGTATACTCTAAGAAATAATGCCTCAATAGATGTGATAACATATCCAATTACTGAAAATTGCCTATTCTTTATTGTCCTCAGTATGTTTTTGAGCTGTGGGATAAAGCAGAGCACTAGTGTTTTCTTGAGACCTGTGGGAATTCCTGTGTGTGTAGGCAGAGTGTTCTGTAAGGCAAGGGTCATGCACATTAGATTTTATATAAACATGTAACTTGGGCATACTATCAGATTATATCTGTGTCTGAATGAAGTCATTCATGGTTTTTTTCATTAAAGAACTAGATTTTTATGAGGAAGCTAATAATACCCAGAACTTATCTGTTTTGCCTATGTCTATGTGACTAGACAGATTCTAACTGAACATTTGCTGTAAGATTGCATTATTTAGTCTTTATGAATTATAAATCTAAATTCACATATAATGTTTTTGAACTATGCCATTCAGCTCAACTGGTAATACTTTACAATATACTAGCAAAAGAATGGGGACTTTTTTAAAAAATGGAATAATATAAAAATAAAGGTTACAAAACTGTGTAATCAGCTTGTTAGCTGTTTGGCCTGTTAAAATTGTGCTGATTTGCACAATTGAGCTCATTTGCATATTGGGAAAGAAAACTTTTTAAATCCAAATTTTGGATTAAGCAAGATTAGAAACCATCAAACATTGGATAACAATGTCAGGTTTAATTTTAAAGAGCTAAGCCATATTTTTATCAGATCTAGAAATATTAATTTATTGACTCTTTCCCCAGTTTAAGGCAAGAACAGATTTCAGACTTTCTATAGAGCATTTTACTTAAAAAACTGTTGGGAGTTTTAATACATTGGTTAATGGATGGAAATGGGATCCAAAAGCTTGGTTTTGATGTTCCACATATATAGGAAAGCTCTTCTTGCTGCAATACCTGGCCTCCTCCAAAAAAAAGCTGTTCCTGGGTAATAAGACCATCTAGACCAGTGTGTAACTTTGGTGAGAAATTGGATTTTCCCCTTGTATGAGAGATTCTTGGAATCCC